GAGACTGAACTTTAGATTTCTAATGGTCTGGCTGGCGGGCAGCTATCACTGGACAGGGAACACCCATTTGGATTTTATGCAGTCATAATTATAACTTTGTAATATCAAAGGTAACTTTAATCTATGTGAAGCACTTCTCATATTGTCCTTGCGTACTGTACTTGGCTAAACTCAAACTAAAAATTAAATATAGCTTGAATCGCTTAGAACTCTGGTTTGCTTTCCATGCTGGGGCTGTAAAGATCTTCATAAGCATTCAATTAACCCCTGAACATCTAAGGATGCTCATTTTACAGATGACAGCACTCTGGCAGAATTGGATGAAATGAGTTTTATTATGTTTCACAGTTAAGAGTAGCTCGTGGCAGGCTAGAGGAATAAAAGCATAGGAAGAAACCCTGTCTGGCTGAAATTACTGTTCCTCTAAGCTCTGAGTGGTACATGCTGGAAAAATGATTATCAGCCAAATGGGAAATCTTTTCTTCTATTCCTTTGAAGCAAAATAATATGCTGACACTTCTCTTTATCCACTGATTTTTTTGGAAAGCATTAATTAAAAAAAAAAAAAATCACAACTCCTTATGTGGATCTGGAGTCAGTTCCCTGGAATGAATGCTCAATATAAAATAAATTCTTAATAGGTAAAAAGAAAGACATCCATTACATAGCAGCTGGCATAAATCTTCTAATGAGGATGAAATCCATGTAAATGAATCATTACAGTAAATTGTTGTAATTAGGATTTATTCATGACAAAGGTCTCATAATTATATAATCAACTTTTAGTGTATTAAGATTTATAGTCTGAACTCTTAATTCCGTTTTATTCATTTAGAAGCAGAATTTGGTAGGGGAGGAGTGTTTTCAGGAGGCTGTCTTGCCACATGCTCTCAACTGTAGATGGAATTGGATTCCTTTGCAAATATCATCTAATTCTGGTCTTGCAGAAGGCTCAAATTCCCCTCTGGCAACAATAAAACTGTTAGCAGTTTAAAAGGTCTCCCCAAATACTGAAGTCAAAGCTTCAAGGGCAAATTTTAAGTGCCAGATGTTTTATTAAGGGCCTTCAGTTAACGGTAGCAACCGGGCGTGCGTGGTGGGAAAGCGCCGTCGACCCGACGCGGGACAAAGCTGCTGCCATCTCATTGTCCAGGCTGTGAAAAAAAAAAAATCAGCTTCTGGTTTTGATCTCGGTCCTCGCCAGGTGGATGGGAGCAGCAGCGAGAGTGAGAGCAGAGGCTTAAAGTCACCCGCAGCCCCGCTGGGGCTGGGCAGTTCTCTGCGGGTGGGATGGCCGAGGCCGCTGGGGCAGGCGGAGGCATGAAGGCTTGCTGCTCTCTCCTGTTGAAAAGAATAACGTTTATCTGCTGGGCTGTCAGCCTGACAGTTTGAAAACCATTACCCAAAACAATTTTTAAAGCAGTTTCCAAGTTCCTTCTCGGCAAAGCTGGAAGGCTTCCAGCGAGAGGCTGTAAACCACCGAAATCACTGTGCTTTGGGGGCTCTCGTGGAGGCAAGCTTGAGTGGACGTACTGGATGTGACACTCTGGCTTGGAATTGGAATAGATTTTTTTTCAGCCCTCTCAAGTTTTAAGAAGTCTGGATTACAATTACAAATTTTCTTGTCTCCTTTCCAAGTCAACGCTGTTTAATAGATTTTAAAGGCTAATTCTTCTTGTGTGCCATTCCCCATCCTTCCCGCTCCTACTAAAATTTAATAAGCAGCTGTGTTGCAGTGATTTGGCTCTTTTTGGCTCCAAGAAAAGTCCTTTACCCACTGCAGTCACAACAGTGAGAACATCCTCAGGCTGGTTTTAATTACAGCAATATCTGCAAATATCCCTAAAGCTTGGAGGACGATTTTACATCTAATCTGTTGCAGGTGGGGTTTGGAATTGACGTTGATCCAACATAGCTATAAGGGGTTATGGTTGTTTTCTTGGGTAATTTTTTTTTTTCCCCTGCATTATGCTGCAGTGCTGAAGTAGCCTCAGTGCTGCAGCACTTCTGTCCCCTGGTTTTCTGTTTAACCTGATGTCGAATACATTGAACCACTTTGTCCTGTGCTCCCCAGCAAGGGGAGGAGCACACACAAAAGTCCTGGTACCTTACCCCATTCTGCTGTTCTCCTGCCTGTGTTAATGCTCTGTTCTAACCACCTATAAATCGTTCAGAAGAGCAGATGACCTCCTGTGCTTTACTGTGTAAGATCCATCTGACAGTGTAAGAAGCTCATACGACAGCTTCTCAGATTTTTGCAGGTACTGTCAGAATCTAAAAGTGGTTTAAGCCTCGTTTGTAATGCTGGGTTAGGTAACTTGATGAGTTTTGCTTTATAAGGGAAAAATATTTTTTATTATATCTCCCAATAGAAAAACATTCTTATATAAATTTAGAATTGGCTTGGCTGGGGTTATTTAGTTTACTTACTTATGAAGCAAAACCAGAGTGGTGTACTTCTGAACTCTAGAACTTTTCCAGAGATGATTTTTAAAGAACGTAGCTTCTTTTTTTCCTTTTCCTTTGTTTTTCCTAGAACTCCAGATGAACTCGGTGCAATCTTCTTTCCCCCTTTCCTCCCCCTTCCCCATTTAATTAAGGCTCAGAATTCAGGTACTCAAAACCCATGAGATTTAATAAGTTGGAGGCCATTAATGAATCAGGATGAATGCATCCTCTGTTTTCTACTCTTTGCTAAATCTAGAGGCGGGACTGGGTCATGGTGTCTTTGCCTGTTGCTGGTACTACTGTGAACCTTCTTAATCAAGTTGAGTTCCCTCTTTACAGCTGTAGGGATTTTTGTCTTCACTCTTCCAACTGAGAGGGCTGCTCCTGAACTTCATGGCTTGAATGCTTAGGAATCGGCTTCGAATTTCCAGCCTACATTTGTGTTGGTGGGTAGTTTAGAGCCACTTGCCCTCGTGTCAGCAGTATATCCTTAAGCCTGAAGAGTTCTTTTTCTCTTCTCAGTGTTTATCTGTGAATACACTGATTGATGATAATCCTCTCTGAACACATTTGGATCCACTCCTACACCGTGGGCTCTCAGCTATAGCAGTTTGCCCTACAGTCCTGTTCACCTCTGCCCACCAGAGGGGTTTAAATAGTGCAAGTGCTCAGCACCCCGCATCTGATCTCTCCTGTGCTTGATTCCCTTTCTCCACTGGACAAAACTGGATAGTCCTTCAGTGCATTGCAGCTTTTATTCACCTTAAGTTCTGTGCCACCTTAAGTAATTGAAAAGCCTTCACTGCAGCCGTGCAATCAAAGCAATTGCAGCATGGCCTGGAGTTAACCTGCACTGAGAGCTAGCTACGTTGGCCTTTTTCTGTTCTCTCTCAGCCTTTTCATTAATTATTTTACAATATAATCATATTTTCAAATACCATCGTGCCTGATGTTGCTTAACATATTCTGTGCACGGTCCATCAGTGGAATTTCATTGTTTTTTTTCAATATTACTTTTGGATTTAGTTGGAGAGACCTAAGATTTGGTTTTTCAATCACCTGTTTGTCTGCCTCAAAATTTAAAAGTCTAATCACCTGCCCACCAGAGTAATTAAAGATTGGAAGAAAGATTTGCCTTGCAAATATTGCACATGCAATGAAGTAGGAAAATGTGCTGATTTATGCTTGTGGATTAAAAGTTTGATTGATTGCTTTATGAAGCCCTGAAGTTAGCCACCAGCATCTAAGAAAAATCATGTTCATTGTTATGGTACGTGTCAGCTCGCCTGGCAATTGACTGGAAAATCTTCTAAAGCTTTTAACGCGGGTACTGCTGTAAAGAAATGTCACTTCTGTCTCGTGCAGGATTTCTCTTTCTGCAGAGCGATTCCATCCGTGCAGCGTATGGCTGGGAGGGAAACACCAACCTGAATTGTAGCTGAGGGCTGGAGAGTGACGTGCGTACCAATCTGGCAGCCAGTGCAGAGCTTTTGGGGAAAAAAGCCACTGTAAATGATAGATGTTCTGGGGGGACGGGTTGTCAGCTGCCTGCGTGTACATACACACCCCCCACCTGTCGCGCTCTCTTGTACACAACACTACCATCCATCATCTGTTTCAGGTTTTTGCTGTTTTTCAGAAATAGAATTTTTTTTTTTTTAGTGTGTCTTCACGGGTTTTAAAACAGCTAGACTAGCTAACAGCTGCAGTTCTCTCTCAGGGGAGACCTCCTGGCCCTCTGCAACTCCCTGCCCGGAGGGGGCAGAGAGGGGGGATGAGTCTCTGGAGCCAAGGCCCCAGCGCCAGGCCCCGAGGGAATGGCCTCAAGCTGCCCAGGGCAGGGTCAGGCTGGCTCTGAGGAAGGATTTCTGTGCAGAAGGGGCTGTTGGGCGTTGGAATGGGCTGCCCAGGGCAGGGGGGAGTCCCCGGGATCCCTGGAGGGGTTGAAGAGTCGGGCTGAGCCAGCGCTGAGGGGTCTGGGGGAGTTGGGAAGGGTCAGGGGGAGGGTCATGGTTGGGCTGGAGGAGCTGCAAGGGCTTTTCCAACCCAGATAACTCTGTGATTTAAGGAAGGTATCAGCTACTAGTTTCTGAAGGATTGGCTACACTCCCTAGAGCATAAATAAACCTGTTGGCAGCTGATGGCTTCATGTCATTAACTGCAGTGTACATTGGCATCATGTCCCTTTGAAGTTACTCCATATGTGCTCCTCTGATGTATTCCAGCTCCCTGCACTGGCCCTGTCCTTTGGCACGGGCATAGCCCAGGTGCACTCCTGGGCCCTGACCACTCTTTGCTGTGCAGGAGGGCAGATGGATGCTAAAAAGTGGTTTTGGTTGATAATGGCCGAAGAGGTCTTGTGAGTTCATGCTGAGTGCCAGCTGTGCTGTCCAGTTCACAAAAAACTCACTCTTGTACAGCTCAGAGTAGTTCTGCTGCAGCTGGGCTCGGTGGTACCACGTGTAGCAGATTTCAGGTGTCATCTGAAGGACAGTCAAATGTGATGTGTTAATTCCACGGCTCTTATTTCTCTTTTGTTTTATGCCTTTTAGGGTGTTTCAAAGATGACCGTATTGTATTCTGGACGTGGATGTTTTCAACGTACTTTATGGAGAAATGGGCCCCCCGGCAAGATGATATGCTCTTCTATGTCCGCCGGAAACTGTCCTATGTCAGTGGTGATAGTACAGAGGGGAAAAAGGTGAGTAATGATGTATTTTAACCTGAGGAATTTAAGGTAACGTGGGATTTGGTGTTCTGGAGTATCTGACACATATGAAGAACTTACAGACTGAGGGTAAGGAGTCTCCAGCTCTGCCCTCCACAAGAAGTTATGTAAAAACTGGCCCATAGAGAAATACAGTGGTTAAATGCTGTGAAGAGCAGCAGGCTAAGTGAGCTTTGGTCACACCCACTTAAGGAGATCAGAGACTTTGCCTGCTTTTTTGGGAAGCTTTTGTGTTGGTCAACCTGCTTTCAGGGGGAAAGGGAGGACAGCCATGCTGATTTTTGGTTTGCTTTGCAATGATGATGCTTTACAGTTTGAAATCTGTAGAAAGAGAGGAGTAAAGGAGGAGGAAGATGGTCAATTTGGTATTTCTAGAAAAACCCTTCATGAGATAACAGAGCATCAGGAATGAACATCTACTGAGTACTTAGTAGCAGAGTACATGCAGCCTCCTGGAGCTGGGATACAGTAGTGACAAACAGGGGGGAAACGACTCTACTCTCATAATCTACATTTCAGACAATATGCCCTCCTGTAGAAGTACTCTTTTCTTGAAAAAACACGTGATCAGGAAGCCTAGTGCTGCTGCACAGGTATTTTCCCATTAGAGGTTTGAGAAACTTCTCAGCATTTTATAGCAATTTTTATCTTAGTTGGGGAAAACAGGAGCAAGAGAAATGATAGTTTTATTGGGAATTAAGGAGACGGTTGCAGAGGATCAAAAGCAGGAATGTAAATGGAGGAAGGAAGGACTGGGATTAACTTCCTGACATCAGTAAATAGTTTACACTGCTGTTGAATCACAGATGTATGCTCGTGGTGTACAGGAGAGTGTTTTTACCGGGTATACCAGGGTTCTCTGCCTTTAAATGTGGTGACATAAAGAACCGTAGTTGTCAACTCCCTTGAGAAAAGGATCCCAGAAGATTGTCCCACATTTTTTTTGAGATACAGGAAATAGGCAGAATTATCTTCTCTCTTCCCCCCCCCACCCCTCCAAGTTCCACTGTGAAAACACTGAGGAGAAGATGGCAAAACACTTATTTCTCTGTCAGAGGAGTGGTTGAAAAGTCTTCAGTCAGCAGACTTGGAGCTTTAAGACTTTTGGAGGAAACTTTCATCCTAATCGTTGTTTAAATGACTGTAAATGCATTGCTGTTTCACATCAAACAATACTGTGGTTTTGTTCAGCCTAATAAAAGCGTGGATTGTTTGACCTCTTGTCCTTCCCTACAAGGGAGGTGAAGCTCAGAGGAAGCCTGGTTGCTTAAATTCATTCACAGTCAATCTCCGTTTAACTTATTAATCAGTTTAAAGTGTTTGAACCTCTCATGGAGAAGAGACAGGGAAATAAACCCTTTCATTTGCTCCCAGAGCTTTATTTAAGCCACCTAAAAGCATCATAGATAATTTTTATTTGTGAGGGCGTTTCATAAGTGGTAGTTACTACAAAATCAGCATCAGTGAATTGCTTTCCGTAACAGCGAAGGTGGGGAGCGTGCCTTATAGCACACAGTATTTTATAACTCCCCCTTGACTGTTTGCATTTTGCTCAGCCTCTGAGAAATGAACCTTTCTTGTGACTTTGAAGTACTTTGGATGCTTTGTGAAACTTCATAGGTTGGTGATTTTATTTTTGGTATCTGTACAGCTCTCTTCCTGTTTGATTTTTGCAGTTCCAGCCCCTCTTGTATCTAATTTTTGAGTCTGTCCTGTGCAGTGAGATGCCAAGCAGCTACTCTTTGAATTATGACTAGACAGGTTTTTATTTTACTTTGCAGTTTGGGCCGTTCTTTCTTGAAAGGTGATGTCAAAATACCAAAATCATGTCATTAAAAAGGGAAGAAGCTGGAGACTGATATTTATAGAAGCCAAATACAACTTCAGGCATCCCTGCCACCCACCAAAGTGTGTGCTCTCATTCACATCCCCAGAGGTAGACTGGAAAGGTGGGAGAAGGGGAAGGGTCCAGAACTGTTTTGGTGGCGAAGGGCTAGAACCAGCACTGCCCTGTTGGCTCCTGCCTCACACCCAGGCTGTGCTGAACACTCTGGTGATGATTTCTCCCTGAAAATGAACTTGTAGGTAAACATAGAAGTGGGTTCTTTGAGGCTTGGGTGTATGGTGAAGCCAAGTTCATCGTAGTTCTTCCATGGACACTACATATCTGCCCTGTGCTTGCCTGGCTGTTGGAGGTTTTGACTGAAGAATGCTGCTAGAGATGTGTGAGGTGAATCGTTGTCCTGTGCCATCTCAGAGCATTGGTTTATATTCATGAAAATAAGATCCGCACAGCTTTGAGCACGGGAATCTTCTGTAGGGCTGATGACAACAACAAAACCAGCTTGAGTGGGGAGGGGCTGTTTGTCTGAACGCTGACAATGGTGGTGTTTGTTTTCTGAGGTGATGAGCTCATGTTTGCATCATTGGCGTGCCGTGCTGTGATGATTCATGTCAGCGAGAAGCAAGCGTCGATTTATCAAACGGTTTTCCGGTTTTGATGGCTGTCCTGTGTGATTTTAAAGTCATTTCTGCTTGTGGGTTTTTTTTTCTGTGCTTACTGGAGCTGAAGAGTGTCAGCAATAACATTTGATTTTAAGTCGAAGTGTAATAGAGGATAAGCAGAAAAAAACCTGATAGGACCAAGATTAGAGGTTCTGTTCAATTTTAAGGCTGTGTGAGAAGGGCTTTGGATGCAGCTTAGTCGCAGCAGCTTGAAGTAATAAATCTTGCAGTATGATAGTGATGATGGTGAACTTCTCTAACGTCATCATTTTTTTTTTTTTTAAAAGGCCTTTTAAATGATCTGCTTCATAGACCCCCTGCTCTAAGCAACTTTCCATTTGCTTCTATTTCCACCCCATCAATTTCTAAACTGCTCATGTATGGGTGAAACAGCAAGGGTTTAATATGGCCCATGCCAGGGCAGAGCTGCCGTGTTGAATTCTGGGCTATATCCATTACACAGATTCTTGAATCCCAGAGAAGTGCATCCAACTCCATGTCACGATAACCTGCAGCTTTTCTTGCCAAGTTTTGAAGATACTTCTTCTCTCGGTGTCTTTAAGCAAAACCACAGACCCCACCTGTCAGGATCTGTGCAGGCAGGACACCGTGGAGCATAGCTCTTGGCAAAGTTAAGGGATGTAATAGGCTTTTTTAAGGTGGAATCCCTTTGACTTGTCCCTCTTTAGGCACTGTTCAGACTCAAAAAACCCCTTTGCTGCTGCTCACACAGCAGCTGATGTGACCTGCTGGAAAACGTAAGCCATGATCTGCACTTACAAAGGGTCCTGTACATTGCCAAAACCTACAGCTTTAGAAGACTGAAGTGATTGGGCTTGGGATTCTGGTTTTAAAATGGTATTAGATCAAGATTTAATATCTCTGGCTCTTTCCAGTGCAAAAGGTATTTGTGAAGGATTATGCTTTTACAGCAGCAAGCTTCTAATCTTTCTGTAGAGAGATGCTCTATGGAAGGTGCTGGCATGGTGTTGACAGACACCTGCTGAGAAGGGAGGCTAAGGTAAAACCTCAGAGCAGAGCTAGGTTGTATTAACCCCTTCAGCCTTGCTTTGTCACCTGCAAAGGGTGCTGTATTTATAGAGGAAAGCAATAAAAAGGATAAATTTAAGACACTGTTGGTGTGTGTTCAGAGCTTGCCTGGATTTTGGAGTAGGTCCTGTTTTCCTCAGCATCCTATAAGTGTGGAGGAGTAGAGTTGCTGCCAAATGCATGGGGTAGTCATTCAGGCTGTTAAGTCTTCAGAAAGCTTGAGCTACTGGTGTTGTGGCTGTAGCTTCAGAAACAGAACAGGAGCCATGGTTTACACGTTTATGTGCATCTGGACCTGTGACACAACAAATATTGGCTGAGGTGGGAGACCAGTTAGTTTCCAAAGCTAAATGACTTGAGGCACATGACTCCCACTGAAAATCACAGGATTTTCATAGCTGAATCTCTAATTCACTGTCACCATCTGGCTGGCTGGAAGATTCGACAACCTGAACTCAGCATCTAGCAGAAATGCAAGTTTTAAAAAGCTTCTGTTGCTGCCTCTGTTGTACCTTTCAGAGCAGTGGGTTTGTTTTTTTGGTGGTTTTTTTTTTTTTTGGACGTTGTAAGCAAACAGGACATCTGTTTGTATACTTCACGGCAGTCCCACATCACCCTCTGAATGCATCAGAGAAATAAACGGCCAAAAAAATGCATCTCTCTGGCCAACTAAATTCTCTCCTTGTACACGGATGGTATGTGGGAACAAACAAGGATTGCAACATGTGCAAGTCAATACAGAGGGACAGCTGTTCTGCCTCAGCTCTTCTGTTGCGAGAAGTTTGTGGAGGTGTTGCAGTGAGCAGGGAACAGGGGCTCCTGCAGAAGAGGACAGCAGCAACGCGTCGCTCTCGTTTTGAAACCTGAAAAAGGAATGCTGGCATTATCAGATTGATCTTCTGTAAGTTGCTCAACTTCTTAAGTGTAAAGATTTGGCTTTTCTGTTACAATTATCCTTCTCGGAAATTCCTGTGCACTCTCGTGTTGTGCTCATGTTTGGTTGTCTAAATATGTGAACACGAAGTGTTAACCATAAATTGAGTCTCAAAAGAACCCTCTTAGGTTGAAGTTTTAGAAGGCAGGTATTTATTGCAGCCCTGGATGCATGGGGGGGTCACTTCACCTAGCATGCACACACTAAAATGAAAGTTGATCCTTTATATACCTGAAAGACATGAATATTCATACATTTTCCAAGAAGTCTCTGCCTTTCCACCTTCCTACTACATTTACAGAACGCTGGCGTTGCAAAACTACACTACACATGCCGGGGGGGTCTCGGGTGGCCGTTTGGGCAGTTACCCCCCCCACTCCTTTTTCCATTTTATGGTCATGAGTCTTTTTGAGGACAATTTCTTCTCCTTGGATGTTTCCCAGCTCTGTTGTCCAGCCAAGTTGTTCTTTCTTGTTTGAGCATT